TATTCACAGGATCTGTGTTTAAACTTTTTATTTCTGTATGAGTTCATTTTTTATAGTTTATTTCTACACAGTCCAACAGCCTGGTCTTCATAAAATTCTGCCAGGATAAGAAGTGCTTATGTGGATTTTAGCTTATTCACATATCTTTATCTGCAGCTCTATTGTTACGCAAAGCATGAATGGATGAATCCTTAGTGCTGCAGGTGTATTTTCTCTCACAATATGGTCCTTCTTTAAAAAAATTCATTCATTTCTTTAAAAAAAAAAAAACCTTCTTGATATCAACTTCAGGTCACTTCTGTTAATCTAGTGTCAACTCCATTATTGTCAATTACCTTACAAAACCTAGATTTTAAGATGAGAAATAGAAATATTCATCATGTCATTTTATAACTCAGCAAGTGCTTATTCAGACTAAAGCACTGATTTCAAAATCACAGCAAGCAACTAAGACATAATTAAACTTTTATCCCTGCAGATTTTAAGAGATATATATTTCCTGTTAAAAAAAAAAATAAAAGGAAATGATAGTTTTCTGTAGTGGGAAGTTTTAGTTTTATTTGATGTAAGAGCAGGAAGAAATATTTTCTTACAAGTACTAGACATGACAAAGAAGAAATTTAAGAAGGCAAGCAAGTTTAGGTTTAGGATTTTCACAATCAATACTTTATTTTGCATAACACCTTGAGATTTTCCCATACTTTGCTTCATTTTTCCACTTACTTCTATGTTAAAATAATAATAGAACTGACTTGCTTCAGCATTAAAGAAAAATTTTACATCTGGGACAAACTTAGCCAAATACATCTATCCCTTTTCCAGCACAATGGTCAGCTGCACAGATACCATATTTTTATTCCTGAGCCATCCGTGACACTTTCCATTCTGCAAACAACATCAGCTGGTGATATAAGCACCTTGGATAATAATTTGAGACGATCATTTTGCCCATATTTATATGTGGACTTTTCTTGTCAAGATCCCTTAGCCTAGATCTCATGGAAAATGTGAACAAAAGCCAGGTACCAGGAAACTGCTTCAAGGGTGTCTATAAGGAGTATGTTATTAACTACATCAGTCAAAGGCTTCCAAAGCCAGTTACAGGTACTTCCATTCTGCCCTTCACTGTCCCAGCTGCACTGATAATCTGCTCTGTACCATCTCCAAGACAAAAATGCATGGTTTTCTTTTCTTGATGCTGAGGTCTTGATACATTACTGTAGCCTTTAAACGCAGAACCCATGAAAAGAATGTCAGTGGTGACCTCTGCAAGTCCAAGAACCACTTATGGGAAGACAAACAGGTTCTTTAAGTAAAAACTAAATACTACTATTCAACAGAAACTAACCATACTCAAACAGTGCTTATCCAGGACTCTATCCATATAAAGTGCTTTCAGCTCATGTGCACCAGTACATGAAATCTCACAACTCAGAATTAGTGCTTGACTCCTCACTCTGCAGGAATCCCAGGAGAGAGCACAAGACCAATGTTCTGCCACCCAGGCACTGCACATTCTGCTTCTGCAGCAGATAAAGAGCCAGGTCTCAAGTCCAAAGTAGTATCATCCCTGATAAAGTTTTTTTCACATGAAAGTCATACCTACACCTGGCTGCTGCAGTTGTGCTTCCCACAGGCAAGAAACTAACTCATTCACGTGAAAAGTAAGTGTCCCTCTAATTGAACTCCGGACCATCCTTGGAATTGCCAACAGTTTGCAAACAGTGTGGTTTAGCACAGCCCACTCCGAGCTCTTCAAAGCTGTGTGGGTATATTGTCTCACCCACTTTTAAAAGACCATGGAGAAGACTCCTCTGAAACTGCAGAGGATGGACCCTGAAGGAAAATAATTAGGTCAAGACAAGGCTATCACTTGCTGTGAGGACAGGCTGAACACACAGCAAAATGTAAGGTTTGGGGGAAACCTGACTCACTTCATTCCAGAGTGCAAGCTCCATCCTTTATAGCAGACACTGTCACTGAGAACTGAATCAAATCCAAACCAGCTTGTGTTTATCCTCTTTCTTCCTAAGTCTTTATGTACTGTTGTGTCTCATTGCTTCCCTCCTTCACTACCTAGCATGCCCTATTGTTCTTATTTTTCAAGCTATCTAATTTGTTTGGGGCCAGATCAACAGATTACTCATGATAGGAAGCTAAGCAAATCACCCATGAATAAGTGTTTACTGAATCAATCCCTTAGACTGTCAGCTCTTCTGAGCAAAGACTGTGCTTTATTATTCACATGTAGAGTAGTCTGTACACCAAGTGTGTTATATACATAATTCATTTAAAAATAATAATGGTACACTAAGAATGAATAACACGCCAACAAGAAAGTTCACTGACTGCACTACCATCGGGAACTCAGAACTGCTCACACGCAGCTGAGGCTCAGAAAACCAAATGGATGATAAGGCAGAAGTTTAAGGTAAAGCACCAAGAGGAAGAAGAGCTGCACTGCAACTCCCAGCACTGCCACAAAAAAAAATTTGTCAGGACAAATCTTCAGAACTCTTTGTGCCCCAAATTCCCCTTCTGAATAAGTAATAGTAACAAAGGGGTGAGTATTCTTCTACTCTTACTTGATATACTCAAGGGTAAACAAGGACTTGGAAATAGAAGGACAACATAATGTGTATTAAATATATGTAATACGTAATTGCATAATAGCACGCTTTTCAATGTAAGACACCATACTGGGCTTATTATTTTAGATGATATCTCAAAATCTACCACGTAGCATATACTTAAAGGAAACAGACACTTCTGCAAACCAGTGTGTGGGGTGTGTGTAGCTGTCATGTGAGCTACACATTGACACAGACAATTTACATTTGCAGAACACAGACAGTACACTAGAACAGAAAATGTTTTATGTTAAAGTATAAATCTGTGACATTGACCTTTCTGCTTCACCATTTAATCCAGCCCTGACCCTCCAGCAACTAAATATTCATGACTAGCATGACCTCCAGGCTTTTCTCTCACACCCAGTCTACCTAAGAGTCAGAGAATTAACCCTTTCACAAGCCAGTGTTTTGGGGGAATTGTCTCTTTCTCTAACTATTATGCCAGTGTCTTTTTGTTTTTCACTTTGCCATCTACAATAGCCTGGCTATTCTTCTTCCATATTTAAAAACCTTTATGCAAATCAAGCTGGTAGCACGGCAACCTAAAGTTCTTGCATTAATGCAGTGTATTATTCACATATAAAAATTCCATTTAAATCCCATTAAGGTTATGACATAAATCCAAACAAACTAGAAAATGAACAGTTAAGGTGGAAAACTGACATATGTCTTCCAGTCTCTTAGCAGAAGAAAGCAGAATAAGAAACCTATTAGTGTGTCACCCAGTTGGAGCAAGGCAGAGAAGCTCATATGTTACCTCCCTGCCTTTTAACTGTTCATTCTATTGCATCTGGGATTCCTTTGTTTTATTTTTGCTTAATGCCCATGTCCCAGTGTCAGGGGTCCTGGGAGACTATTTTTGCCTGTAAATGCTTCTGGACAATATTCACTCTGAGGGACAAGAAAGGCAGCCTACTATAAAACAGCTGTAAGCTGGGAAAAAAACAGATTAGCATTTTATATTTTTCTGGGGGTGTTTCTGGCAGATAGGAAAAACCAATGACACATATGACACTGTTTTGCAAGTGTCCCAATTAGCAGCACTACTGCTGCAATCTGTAGGCACCTACTTTTGTTCTCACATGTTCCTCTCTTTGAATTCCTGACGCTTCATAGTAATGAACTACACCGCAAGGTCTTGAAAAAGGCCAGAACTATCTTTCTGCAATACTTAAAACACTCTCAGTATAGCTGAGGTGAAGGAATGGGTGTAGGCACCACTGTCTTTTGGATAATCCACTACAGCTGTCGAGGATCTGGATTACAGCAGTAGCTCATGCTGTGCATACCTGCCTAAGCACATGGATCTCTCTGCTTATTATGCATGAATAAAGATTGACCCTGTAGCCCTGTAACAAGGATAAGGAGAAAGGGGAAAGGTTGGTTGGGATTTTAGTTGCATTAGTTGGGCTACAGATGCTACAGTTGTGAATTTTCAAACAGAATCAAGTCCAGAGTATGTGCTACTCCGTATGTTTGTCATACAGGCAAGTACTGCATAGTGGGCTGTTATTAGAAAGTGTGGGGTTTATTCTTTTTCGTTAGAGTTGAATGAAACTTGATTGCAGTTCTTCTTTTTGGTAGTGATAAGTGTACAGAAACAAGCTCGTTCAGTCAGTGAAGCTGTTGTCTTGACTAGAATCCCAAGTTTGATTTGAATTAGCCATTCATAAGACAGACATACATATGCACACACATGGGCACACACACAAGGCTTTGAAAGAGATTCCATCTGTTTTTTTGTAAGGCTGGGTGATAATTAGGAAAAGTAGAAATATTTCATGTTCTGTATTTGTGACCTGACATGTCTTCCTTCATGTTGTCATTGAACACTTCCATCCTAAACAGAACTGGCATTAATTGGGGATTTAGTAGAGTTGAGGATGAAGTTTTAGAGAGAGGGTGACTTTTTTTTCAATTTAAAGTATATTTTCTTTCTTCTCTGCCTTGAAGAAGTTATTTTTCCCTTCCTCTGTTCTAAGCAAACATTCTACAAATTATACTTTGAATAAGACACATCACAGACTTCCATGGAAACAGCAGTCAGCATGAGGGAAGAGTGGAAAGTGCTCAAGGTGACAATACCTTCTGCAGCACCATCACAAGATACAAGTTGAACCCTAGCAAGTACAGAAGAAGCTGACATGACAGTACAAAGCTAAACAAGATCACAACATTTGGGAGAGAAGAAACATGTGCCCAAAGCCATCCTTTCCTGCCAATTATTGAATCCTTGACAAATGACAAATATTCAGGGTCTATTTTGGATGAACCTTCAGGGAAGGTTGAGAGAACAGCTTAAATTGCCAATGTCTTCTTGGACACTTTACATTTCAGATTAATAAATAAGTGCAATTAGACAAATACCTATGAAGGATGAGAGGTGCCTACAGGTACATATTGTGCTAAAGCTCACAGGATATGCTTTTAGCCTTTGTCCTCAGAGACCTCTTTCAAATCGTGTTGAACTGTTGTAGAAGTCAGGTCTTCACTGAGTTGTGACGTGAAATGGTTTACATGGCCAACACTGAAAAGCAGATGAAGTATTTAAGTAGCTTTCAACTTTGCGGACAGTTATATTGTCAAGAAGACTTTTCTAAAGAAGCAAGATGTTTTTTACTGCTGTAGTATTCTTACTCTTTTCAGCATCCAAGTGCTCACTCCTATTTCTTTTCCCATTTCTAAATATTTATGCATTCTCACCCAGAGACTTCTACAGAGCTCTAACACTACAACATCCTCTTCCACCTAGGATTCCCAGCAGTACTTTTCCTCGACTTCACTTTATTCACAGCTTAGCTGCTACAGTCATCTATCCTGTTCCATGGCTTGTCTGTGGAAAGTCTTCCCGTCATATATGTTCCTTCCTCATCAAATATAAGATTTTCTTTCGCAATTGTTTTTTTCAGTGCTGCTCCTTCAAGGTGAGTATTTGCTACTGAAACCAAATGCTATTCCATTTGCTCCTAATGTTTACAATCTTTCCTTCTGTACCCACTACTCTGGTCCTAACCTTCACCCAAATATCCTCTTTTCTTGAAATCTTTTTTTAAAAACAACATAGAGATGGTGTCAACAGCCCACTTTTGACCTTTCATCTGGAAGAGTCAGTGTGTTTTAACTACACGTCTCCAAAATTTTTAAGGGTATCAGTCTGCAGAGACAAGAACTAGTATCCTCTGGTTTTCAATGCCAAGCCTGTAGCTCAAAGTCCAGAAATAAAAGGATTAAGGCAATATGTCTTAATAGATCTCTCTAGTCACAGGTAAGATGATTTCAAAGATTTGCAGCTCACTCTGCTCCAATCTTGCTGACATCCATGCCATCTAATCAAATTTGTCACCCAGTCAGATATGCTACTTGAACTCATCTTGTGCTTTCTCCCAAATCTGAATCAACACAAAGAAATCAGGTAGTTTAAATACTGAGGTCCAGAGGTGGAGGGACTTTTAGGATGACTCATTTTGATATAAAGGGAGGAAGAAGCTTTTACCCAGGGAGCTCAGCCAGAAGATAAAGCAAAATAGGTTCCTCAGGAAGGGGATGTTGTTTGCATGGCTGAGGTTTCAGTCCTACACACTTCCTCTGCATGTGTGAGTGATTCTATTGACTTATCAAGCATTCAAGTGCAGGACTGATTTATTTTTTTTAAGTAAGTAAAAGGCTAAGTGATTTGATCAAGGCCACAAATCAGCATGCCAGAGGCAGGACTATTATAACATGCTAGTAAGCCAGTCAGATTGGAAGCTTAAACTCTGGAGACAGGAGTCACCTTTTGTATATTTGAAGTGTGCACAGCATAAGAGAACTTATTCAGTCCTAGTGATGTTTCTGAGTAGCAGCTTCATGCAGATAGTAAATGACATGTAGACCAGTGGGCATGGGGCCTTCTACAGTTTTTTTTAAAACTCCTGAGATCATAAAAACATCAAAGTTTGAACAGAATAAGGTGGGTTTCAAGCTACTTTCCTGTATCAATCAAATGAAAACATACCCTGCTAAGAAAGCTTTTCCATATCAAAATTTTTCTCTCAGATTATTCCCTTTATAACTGTCACTGACACCATAGAATTTGAAGCATAAGGAGGAAGTTATGCAGAGTAGATATTGTGAGAGGAAATAAAGGTGGACAGAAGAAGAAAAAAATATCACGAATAAACTTAAGAGGTGTATGAAATTTCTTCATCTGTATGGACCCCAGAACTGTGCTAATTATGAGGACTAACATGCTTCCTGAACATAACAATAGGTTATGTCAGCTGCTGGAGAGATATGGTGTACCCACTCAGATATTGAAGTGCAGCCTACAGATTGCTTACACATGGAGTCCTAAAATAAATGCAGGTGTCTTAACTGGCACAGTGAAAACACTAGTCTATCAGAAGGGAACAGGCATGAGGTAATACCTCATATCCAAAAATGTATCTAAAACCAAACATATATACTCTCAGTAAGGTATAAGAGGAGCTTCATTTCTGTCACATCTGATTATCTTCAAAAATTGCATCAGTTAACCTTATTAGTCTCTGGATCAGCTGTTTCGATCCTCTCTACAACTTGCTTAACAAATATAATAATTTTGCAGAGAATTTGTGGGGATTCAGTTCCTCCCAGATTGCCTTCTACTTTGTTTACCTCAGTGGAGGACTGATTGAGTGATAAAAAAGGGTCACATAAATACACATACATTTCCTGGCAGAAAAAAAAATTCACAAATAGGTGTGCAAACCCTGTACAGCCTTATCCTGTTGCCAGCTGCCCAAACACCACTTCACTTCTGAAGAACTAAGTCTCTGTATTGTTTGCTGAAACTTAGCCCCAAACACAGCAGAAAGAAGCCTCAGCAAATGAAATTCAGTGCACATTCTCCTGTTCTGATACTCTTTTAAATAACACTGCCTCAGGATACATTAGTTTCATTATCTCTCTGTCTATAATAAGATCCTAGTGCATGACAGCCAAAGATTGCCATTTATCCTTCCTCAATGACACGTTTCATTTTGGTTGGTGGAAAGGGTATGTTATGTGAGCCACGGCCCCGTAATTCTACTCAGCATCATATCATGGACATGACATTTGGCCCAGAATCCTTCCCACGAGAGGAGGGCTGTTGTACTGATTCAGAATAAATATTGCTGGCTCCTTCAACAAATAGAAAGTTTCACTTTTAGCTGAACTGCTCTATACAGTAAATTTCTCAGGAGAAAAAAAGCTTACAGAACTATTTTGGAGAAAACTATATTTTTTAGTTTTCTCTTTTGAGAAGCATGTTTCCATACAGATGAGGAAGCCCTTCTTAGATCTAAAACTTATATTTTGCAATAAGAACAAATAATTAAGTACCAGCTTATTGCTATGTACCAGTTCTGGTTTGGTTGAAACTTTAATCCTTATGATGAAGGCTTAAAAATATAGACTGAGTTTCTCCATTCTTGGTTTCCACAACATTTATGAAGAGTACTAAATGAAAAAGAGCGAGAACCAGAGTGCCTACTCAAGATGTTTGCATTAAATGTTACAGCAGCTACAAATGGATATTTAGCCTCAGCTTTAATTAATCCAAAATTAGCATCTCCACACAGTCAGGGAAGAGATGTGGCCATCTCCAAAGAGAAACTCAGAAGCGTAGTGCTGAGTGAGGGGCTCAATAAAGTGGTCAGTAAGAAATAGTGAGGAGTATCTGCTGTTTGGTTGAGGACATTTGATGTATGATTTAAGGCTGCTTCAATTATGTGCTTCCAGCTAGAATGCACCCAGACCTGAATACTTCTCTAAGCACTCAGTAGTGGTGAAATTTAGGGATCATGAGCTAGAAGTGGGAAATCTTCTAATTAACTGCACTTTCTAATAACTCTTTACAGGCACCTGCACCTTCTATGGGGGAAAAAAAAAATCATACTTTTAAGACTGAGCTGGTTCTTTCTATAATGGAAAGATTATAGTATATGTTTTTCTGAGATTTCCGAGGACTTCTTTCAGTGATGCAACAGACCCCTTCCTATTTAGTGGGGGCTTGTGTTTTCTGAGGCACACTTAATATCAACAACACATCATGGATAAATTTTAGGGCTTTAAAGTCTTTCCACCTCCTCAGCCTAGAGTACCACACACATGTGAGCTCTCTAGCTCAGCTGCACTGTTGAAGAGTTTGTCTCAGCTGCCTGCGTAGAGGCAGCTGCAGAAGAGACAGCAAGAACACAGTGAGATCCATATAAATGGCAATTATCACTGAAGTTATTCGGTGTACAGGACTGCTAGGGACTTTGAATATCTACTCTGGTAGCTGGTCTGTGCTGAAATTCTTTCTGAAAGTAATGTCTGTGAGTTACCATGTCTGTGGGAGAGGCAGGGCAGACACTTTGGAGTGACAATACCAATCCCACTGACAGCACTGTCCCACCCCACAGTGCTTCATCTTGCACATAGATTCACAGGAGACACTGCGATAATGATCTTCCACTCTTCTTTCTGCATATCTCCTTAGTCTGTCTAGTGTAGTATCAAAATGAAAAAACAGTGGTGTGCAACCAAGGAAAAATGTTTTATTTAGTATCAAAAATAAGGACAAAAACTGTGTAGAGGAGCATCCCGCGCACGTTCCTCTCAAACCGATTTTTAAGCACTCTGTGGAAGAATGAAGTGTAACTTGCGTATTTTTTGCCAGTCACCTGAGGTTGGTAGAACTTATAAAAAATAACAGAATCATAGAATCATAGAACAATTAAGATTGGAAAGGCCTCTGAAATCTTCAAGTCTAATAGTTAACGTAGCACTGCCATGTTCACCACTAAACCATATCCACAGGTGTCACATCCACATGTTTTTTGAATACTTCCAGGGATGGTGATTCTAGCACTTCCCTGGGCAGCTTGCCAAGCTGACCAGAAAACAAAGTATCTCCTGTGACTTTATGTCAAAAATTTGAGTACCTTCATGCAGAACATATTGTGATGCCATAGTTGACGCAAGATACAATGAATAAAATGTTAACATCGGTGGTGAGGGAGAGGGAAATATTCTTCTGATTAAACATCTCCTTAAGTGTAGTCACTTTTGCTGAACCTTATATTCACTGATGAGAATAATGATTATGAGGTCACAAATCATCTTATCCTGCAGATGACACCTAAAACCAGTAAAAAGAATCTCTCCCTAAAAATGCCTTTTCCTCTCTATACAGTATCAAGACATTCTATGGTGACTGTAATCCCTAAATGATTACCATATCAATATCTGAAGTTAGGTGGGGAGAAGCTCACCCTCTCTTTTAGCTCAGGTCAGCTAACCAGAATTTCAAGTAGCACTTTGACTCCCCCACATGACTTCATACAATTCTGTTCTCTTTCCACCAGTTCTTTGAGTGTCTGCAGAAATTTCCTTTAGTCAAGTCAAAAAAAAGAGTCTCTCTATATCCCTTGATGATTACATTTTTGCTTAGCAGTTCATCATGAAGTAACATAAAGTATCATACTTTATTTGCTTGACTGTTCATGAAGTTGTGAAAGGACACAGCTGTGCTGGTACTTTTTTATTATATTACCCCTCAGGAGCAGGATCAGCAGAACTACCTTATACACAGTCCCTTCTGTCTATGCTACTTCCACTCATGCACTGGTCTTTTCACAGACTGTTTATTTTTAAAGATTTACACTTCATATCATCTTGTTAACATACTGCTGCAAAGCATTGGGTAAGAATCTATATAATAACAAATGCGTTGTTTCAGACACCTTGATTAAAATTTGTAAGATCATAGTGATTACATTCCTACTAAAAACTGACAGAATGGTTGAATTATATACAACGTGTTGTCAGGTTACCTGTGCACTGGAAATAACAGGAAAAAAAATCTGGACAACATGCATTTTTCCTCTATGTATTTTCTTAAATTTTGATTGCTACTCTTTAGATGTACTTTGTCTAATCAGAACATTATGCCTCACAATCCTGAAATAAACATTGCTGGCTGATCTATCCTTTCTCTCTTTTAGAAACGCAGGAGGATGAAGTGCACAAGCAGAGATCTAACAGTCTCCAGGCAGTTATTCTGTCCCCAGGAGAATGGCAGTGGCATCTGTCCCTTAGAGGACTGACACCCTCATGCTCAGCTCTGCTGTGGCCACTAGCTGTGAGCTCACCTCTGGGCCACATGCAGGCACAGGGGTTGTATTATCCAGCTCCCCTGCCCAGATTCACAGCTATCCCTGCTCATATCCTTTTCTTATATTACCTCTGTATTTCCCATAATTTGCCAGACTGTTTAATAGCTATATGCAGCTACATCTCCTCTTCTCACCTTCCAGCATCTCACTGTTTTCTAGGTCCAGGCTTTTTCAGCCTCTTAGTCACCCTCAACCCAGTGGTAGTCTCTGTGCCTCTTCTCCTTCTTGATGTTTTCATCCAGCCGGCAGAAATCATGTCAGTTTTACTCATCCAGCAATAACTAATTCTGCTTGTCCTGGACAAGGAGACTTTTCCCATCTTGCTCTCCTCTCTGCATATAGTAAATATTTGCATAATATGTTAAGTATGTGGGGAAACCTCAGGAGATTTGGTTCAATGCCTTTAGGATAAGCACCTGAAAAGCTCGGCTGTTTGCACAAACCTTAATCCAAACAATCTGATTCTTGAGTTAATGGGCTGGAAATCTTGTGAGAACAAGATTTCTCGTAAATTTTGCTTCTGCTATTTTATGATAGTAGGGTGAAAATAACGTCTTGTACTATTTTGACACTTCTTTTTAGGGATTCAGGACAAGGGGGGAAGAAAGTTACCCAGACTTTTCTAAACCTTACAGAAGTATCAGTTATCTTAAACTGATGTTTCAGATGAGAACTCAGAATGGGAGATTACAACATGCAAGCCAATTCAGCTGTTCTTTTATAGCAGTGTTCACCCACTTTATTGATATGCATCAGGTATTGGTAAAATAATACACTACATACTCTGACTGACTGTCTAATAGGAATCTGTCAAACTATGAATGCTATAACAGTCACATAATAATAACACAGCACTACAGAAGGTAATAAATTACACACTTGCCACCATCCCTCATGTATTCTATACGGATCATGGAGTTATGGTTATTGGTTGCAGTGTGTATTACCAGGTCCCAGGGTCACCAGAACAGAGTTAAATGATGTAAGGGAGTAAGTAAAATGATGATCTATGTTCCAAACCAGCACTAGCCTTGGTACCTATTTACCTCATGCACTATGTTTATATACTAAGCGTGAATAATCAGGTTCCCTGAAAAGGAAGAGAAAATTGACAATGCCAGGGGCAGAATAGCACTTTCCATTTATCAATAATTTTGGATTGAAAACCTTATTCATTTTTGTAGGTGCTGTAGGTTGTGGGGGATCACTTAGAGTTGGCAAAGTTTCTCACATGGATCTGTAAGACTCCCCACCCAGTAGGGTATATATTTTCCTCACCAAAGTTCATCTGTGACCATCATGTGGAAAGAAAGTATTCCAGTAGCTCCGTGTGCCACGCTCAGATAACAGCTGAGCCCCAGACCAAAGGTCACAATAATCCTAGCTTTTTGTTACTGCTACTACTCCTACTTGAGCAAAAGGAGAGATTTCTTTCGATTTAGACAATGCAGTATTTGTGCTTTAGTTTGACGTATCATCCACTTACATTTTATTCATAAATCCTTTCAACTTCATTCCATCTCCACACTTCAGCATATTGCATATCCACAGATTTGGTAGACCTCAAAGACAATGCTGATATATCATAACTTATACTCTAGGGAAATCCGAGAGTGGAATACACAGTGGCTCTGTACAACCAGAGACTGTTTCCAGATTCACCAGGGAAGACGGTTCTGGACAGGGAAAAACAAAAATGGTTACATAAAATTGTATTGTAAAAATTCCCAATAACATAAATGAATGATATTTTACACTGTATATGGATTTATAGACTATTTAGGATTGACTGATACAGCTATCAGCCACATACTGTCATCAGGTTATGTATCTCTTGGTGTCAGCAAAAAAAAAAAAAAAAAAAAAAGAGGATGAGGGTGTTACTTTTACATCTGACATGGAATTGTGTTGTATTTTCAAAACAGATGTCATCTCAGGAAAAATTATGCTTAGGCAGGAGTTTTCATGTAAATAATTTTCTACTGGGCAATCCATTGTTTGGAATTTTTTTAAAGTATTTATATAAACCTGAGGATTTCTAAGAACAGCCATAATGCTGGGGGGGAAAAAAAAGGAAAATGGAAACAGCCTAGAGCCCAAGTACCCCACCTTAAAGGACCCCTAACTCCAGATCTCATTTTCTCTTTTACATGTTTAGGTAACAGGTAAACACATTAAACAAGTTATCTTCTCTGTCCCTTCCACCTCCAACATATGCATTTTGTCCAATTACACCTCTGGAAAGCATCAGCAAGGCTTCATGAGAATAACTGGACAAACTGGGCAATAATATCAATTCTCTTTTTAGGCATTCAGTTTGTCTCTTATTTATTGCAGTGTGTGCTTTTAACGCTTTCTGGTTTTGCCCTGCTGTGTGTAAGGCCGGACACATCTCTGTGCCAAATGCTGACCCAAGTCATTTGTGCCCTCTGTCTGAAAACAATGAGGTGCTCAGGTGTAATTGCATGGAATTTGAACAATAATCCTGGCTTTCTCCTGAAAATGAACAGTAGTGCATGAAAGGTAATATACCCCTATTTTGCTGAGTGCAGGGCTCTGAAAGGTCACACTGGGACAGAAACTGTGAATTGTTTGGAAAATAGCCAATTTGATTACAATGGGCAATTCTGAGCTTACAGTTTGCTTGTGTCTATCCTGCCTAAAGTGGCATCATTTGTAATAAAAACTGTATTGTAGAAGTGCTGTGAAAGAGGTTGTAAACTCAATTGCTATTCTGCTGAAGAATCAGAATGGGGACTTAAATATCAAAACCGAGATAAAAACTGTTCAACATTCTACAACAGGGACATTCAGAGCAAGTTCAGAAGCACTGCATTGATATTAACATATACACGCTAAACAGCCACAATTAACAGCAGTTTGGGGATGAAATGAACACTGAAAGCTACTGTCAAGTTTTGAAGTATCATTTTTATTTTTGCAGATTCAAAATTCAAAACAGACAGAATCCAAGGTATGTCTTTGCTCTCACTGTCTAGGTGTAGGACCCGTCTCTCTCCTAGAACTTGCCATGTTCTTTCCTGTTAACCCAGTGGATAACATGACCAAATTCACACACAACAACAGGACCTCGGGTGATTTCTAAGTCCTCCTTGTCTCCTTTCAAGAAATGGTGGGATTCAAAAATCTCAGCTTCTCATGGTTACACAGAGCTATTTGGTTAGTCTTGTATGTAGACTGAAATTCCATATCTTTTTATGACAATAATACTGGGTTTTCCCATAATTCCCTGACGTAAGGCATTGTTGTTAGGGCCACTATAGATAAATGAGTTTTTCCAGACATGCTCTGTTTGTTCTGGACATATTTCAAGATTATGCTATATTTGCCTAGGGTTTGCAGTCATTTGGTAAGTTTAACACACATCCACTGGGGTGCACATGCTCAGCAGGTCTGACACCTTTAGAAATATGGCAGCCCTAATTATAGGTTCTTGCAGATGGGTTGCTTACAGATTAAAGCTCCCTCTCAATTCCTTGCATATTTATAAGTATCTGATTAATGGATAACCATAGGTAGTGGACTGAAATCGGAACTGCAAAGGACTTGCAAATGACCTTAGTAATTTTAGAGGAGGCCACATCAAACAGTTCTGAGTCCCCTTGATTCATTTGGTCATACTGGTAAGCTACAGTGCAATCAGAGCTGCTCCCCACAATGGCCTGGTGTGATGGCTGCATAATGCACTAATAAAGTATTAGCATGTGATTCCTTGGTGGAAATCAAATTTTTCTAGCTAAATAACAAGGTTGAATGTACCATCTTAATAGCAAGGGAAGAAAAAAGTCTCCCACCCAATTATTTACTATCTCTAAAAGTTTCTTTATGTTTCTACTCCTGAGGAGCTTTCTTCAAGGTTTTGAGAAGGTGATCAACTCAAAGTTTGTTCAGTTTCAACCAGAAATAACCAAAATCTCTCCACACAACTTGGATAAGTGTGAAGGACTAACTGGAGACAAAGAAACCTGCTGTTACAGTCTTTTCCCTCAGAAAAAAAAAAAAATCTCAGTACCTGATTTACATAGGAAATCTCACCCAAACCCCGGACTTTGATGAAGATTATTCATCATTCCAGCTTTCTAATACCCAAGTATCTTTTCTTTATTTTATTTTCTTCCAATATGTCTGTCTTTGATGCTTTTCATGAAAGATTTTCCTACTTAATTTCCAAAGACACTAAGACAATGAAAAATAATGTTAAGAATTTTCACCCAATATTAAGGATTAATGGTATTGTTTTCAATTTTCAAAACAACCCATTTTGTGATGGTCTGGAGGCTTTGGTCTAGTAAAAGGCAAGGGATTTAAAGAAGACCTTTCATGTAACAGTTTAAAACTGTCATAAATAGACAAAAAGAAAAAAAAAATATGCAACATAGTCACAAATGGAAAGCAGATTGGGCCAGAGCTTTCCAGACTCTTTTCAGCTACCATGAATAGTTTTAATGCACATTTCCAGAATTTGTTCTTTCCTTTTTTTTTTTTTTTTTGCTACTGAAAACCATAAATTAAACATCATGCCACAGTTCTTCACAAAGGAGCCCGGGGGTGGGGTAAAATCCAACAAACAAATTATAAATCCTAAGTAAGGGTACCAAATTTCTCTCTATCACAAAGAAATGCAGAGAAATTTGCTTTAAATTAAGCTTTCTGAGAGAAATATCAAGACATTATTAGAAAGAATGGCTAGGCAGCAAATAGTTTTCATATCCAAAAAGATGTGATATTTAAATTATTTTTCCAGCCTCAAAAATTAAGATCTCATAGAATCAGAGAATAGTGTAAATGGCAAAGGATCTTTTTCTGCAAAAAAAAACAGCAAAAAAATCAGCTGTGTTCCACTGAAATGTTTTGTTTGACCTAGTTTATCATCCCTACACAAAAGAAAAGGTTTTTTCTGGCTGAAAGAATCAATGCTTATAATTTTTGTAAATAGTAAGGTAGATATTTCTTATTGTACTTGTGATTTTTCACAAATACTTCACTTAAACGAAACAGCTCATTGTCTGAAATTCTTACAGCAAATCAGCATTTTTCATTGAAAGAGATAATGAAGAATTCCCATCCAGCTACCCTGAAGAATGTTCCTCTGCAGATGAGTTTAATCATCTACAATTTATCTTCAGGCGAGACTTGAGAAGCATTGCCTTTTTACCTGTCTATTGAAGCTTATGGATCTCTCTCTTTATTTCAAATAGTTAGAATCATCCAAACACATCAGGAGAGCATTATTTCCCACAGATCACCTTTTTGAAATATTACAGGAAACAATAGGGAATCTCTTAATCACAGGAGAGCCATCTTATCCTCTGTATGTATGAACTGAAGTTGTACAAAAACAAGAACTCTGAATTCCCCCACCCCCTTAAATAAAACCATTATCCTTGCTGGATTGTTCCCATGTAAGTGTTAAGTGGTATCTCAGTTCATCTGTTCTCTCGGTCACCCTCAGTACATAGTATTTCTAATGCTGAAAACTTTGTATTTTCTATATTAATTAAAGGAAAGAGGGAAGAAGAAAAGAAACAGCTTCTTTTTCTCCTTTTTTTTTGTGAGTAACCTTGAATGACAAGTTTGCAGTTTACATCTGTGTATCTCACCAAAAATATATGTCATTTCTCTAAATAAGCATCATATATCTCAATAGTAGGGTCAGTTACCCACCCCTACCCCTCACACTAGCTGATCTATCAAGTTAAATCACAAGCTTTTTGATATAAGCGTCAATGTAGATCTGACATTACAAAAATAACTCACAATGGGGCAGAAAAACAGTAAACGTAGAAAAATATTTTATTTTATTATGTAGAAAAATAATTTAACCCCTTAAGCTCTCAAATTACTAAAATCCAGAGATGTAGGTGCAGAGTTTATGCTCTAGTGCAGAGTATGTTTTAATTCAACTACTCTGAGTGCATAGAAGTTTTTCACAAACTTACCTTCCCTTTCCTTTTCAGACCACTTGAACTATGTTACCTTTATTTTCCTGTTCTTCTGTGAGAACTGTACTGCTTCAGCTTCCAGATAACCTCTTCCTCTGTGACAGACACCAATCCTTGCCATAGTCATCTTTTTCTCCAAACTAAAAAAGCTCAAAATCCACTGTTCCCAGAGGCATTTTAAAACCCCATATCTGCTAAAACAGAGAAGGCTTGTAGAATTAATAAGACTTAAACTAATATTTGACCTTTTTTATATGTTTTTCTGATAGAATTTTTTTCCAAAAATTCAATGTTAAATTTTTTAATGGGAACAAATATCCAAGTTTCAAGTAGCACAAAATGTTTAGTCAAAGCAAGATAACAGTAGAGCAAGGCTTCTTCCTCAGAAGAGCCGCCAGCCCAGTTCAAGGAGATTCATGTCTATACAAGACGAAGTGGCTCCAGCCCTGCTCCAGTGACTCAGGACCTGTTCAGAATGCAAAAGTTCCTGCAGAAGAAGCTGAGACCCAGTATGAGATGCAGTGGGGCACAGCCAACACCATGACTTTTTGGGCATT